TATTTGTTTTTTGTTCTAGTCACATTAGCATTCATGTTTTAAGCTATCAAATAGTCAACAAGGTCTGGCCATCTTTGTGTCTTTTCCCCAAGAATATGCGATGGCCAGCAAACTCTCCACTGTGGCCTCTACTCCTTCACACCACAGCTGCACCTTTCTTGTAAGCACCCTTTATGATAGCGCCGATCTCAAGGGAGAAGATGAAAAGCAAAACCTTCATTCTGTCTTCCAGGTATTTTTCAATATCTAGGTATTTCTTCCTTCACAGACACAATCCAAATGGATCTCTCAATTTTTCATCCAAATGTTTCGCTGTCCCACAGACCACATACATGGCAGCAACAGCCCCAAGGACAGGCAGAGTTTGTACTTGTTACTGAGACGTGATGTAAAGGATCAGGGTGGGCTCTCTACTGAGAGAAAACTTTCTAGACTCAATCAGGGTCACTCTGAAAGTAGCAAGAATTCTAGCTAATATCAGTCATTAGTAACAGCACACAAATACGTTATCAAATTAGCTGGGAGCCAGGGCAGGAGCCCGTGATGCCGCCTTTTTGGAGGGGGGCACAGGTGTCTGAGAACAGTCCATAGCACATGCAGCCCATGTGGATGCCTGAGAGCAATGGGACTGTCCTTGGCATCCTGAGTGGCCTTGCAGAGTGGGAGAAATTTTGGTTTTAGAACCTAACAGCCTTGTTTTGCTCCTAACATGTGTAATAGAGCCAATGTTTTGAAAATATTTTTTTCTCTTTGTCTGAGTCCATGATTTTAATATCTGCGGTGTTCAGCTTCTGATATTCAAAATAGCCTTTTCATCAGTAAGTAGATAGGCTTATAACATAAGCCATTGTCTTAAGAGTTTCTGAATCCTTTTATTTCTCAGTTTTCACCCCAAAAGCTTACCTGGATGCTTTGGCTTGCCGAGTAGAGATAGCCCTTCCACCAGCGACAGTGTTAGGTCGGAGCCCTGCTACTCTGTGGTTGATGGACTATTTGACATAGGAGAATAAAAAGAAAGCCCACCTCTCCTGGCTCAGGGGATTTGAAGATGATGAAGGGAGAGCGGGAGGAGAGTCAGGGTACTAGAGATGTGTTTAGGAGCCCCATGGGTTGCTTTGCTTGGGTACTTCCAGGGTTTGGAGGGAGACTAACACCCCACCTATGACCCCCTCCCAAGGGCCAACATCCCCAGGGTTACCCTGATAAAGGAATCATACTGAGAAGAGACCCGAGCCCCTATGAGCTTCCAATCCCTGAGATTCCAGAATTCCATTCTCCCTGGTCCCTTGAAGTCACTGCAGCTTCCACCCCCAACCCCTGTCCCATGAGTCCAGGGAGAAGAAAAGAGAAGGCCACTGCTCTCTTAGAAACAGAGCATTTTTATGCAAAGGAGACTAAGAATTCTCCAGAGGGACTATTTTGATTATTATATCAGACTAGGTTATAATCTGGAATGTACTAAATTAAAGTTGTTGCCCACTCCTATCCAGGGACTGGGAGTTTGCAAAACCCATAGCAGTTCAAAAAAAAGAAAATACGGCACATTTTCATTGTACATCCTAGGAGTGGTTTGGACAGTTGAAGGCCTCAGCTGTGTGTGTGTGCCTGCACAAGCCTGTGCACCTTAGATAAGCCCAAGACTCAGTTTCTTCATCTGCTAACTGAGTGTGGATAATAGTTCCCATCTCGACAGCCTCCTATGTTTAAACGGTGGGTAAATGATGCATAACCAGTCCCGGCTTGCTGTAGAAAGGTGGTGAGCATGTCTTCTTGCTGCGCTGGGCAATGGGATTAGACAACAAAAGGAACAGAGCGGGGCAGAGGTGGCTCAGCTGTGGCAGCACCCAGTGGCCACCAGCTCCTTCTCCATGGAGAGGTGAGCGGACTGTGCAGGCTGCAGACTGTGGTCAGAGGTGGGCCTTTGGTTCTTATTTCACTGTGCCAGAGAAAAACCACACGTGAGAAATTGAGCGTGCAGCCACCTGGGCCCACAGAGCTGCTCCCATCCTTTCAAAGACCACCTTTGCCATCTGTTCTCCTCACATGCATTTTGAGCCGAGGCAGGAGTCGCCTGGCCTTGTGCTCATCAGAATCTGCGCTGCCCCGAGCCTGCCAACAAACAGGGCTGAGCTCTGCTTGCAAGAACTTGTTGGAGGCTGGGTTAGTGTCTTGGCTCCCAGCTCCTCATTCAGCCTCCATGTCCTAGTAAGAATATATTATTTTCTTAGCTCAAATTGCTGTTTCCAAGTCATTATTTCTCTACAACGGGAAAACAATATTGGGTCTTATGTAATATCAACCTCAATGAATCTGGAAGTGATCATGGAATGGGTGGATTTTTTTTTTCCTCCTTAAAAAAGAGAAAAATAAATTTGAGATTGTTTGCATATGGCTGAGGATATTTATGAACTATTCCCCTTGTTTCCTCATCACATATTTTACCCAGTGCATTGGTGTGTGGTACAGAATAAATCTTTATGGGAGCAGAGGCAGGGAGAGAAGGAAAGCAGTTAAAGGACCAGGCCTGCCATGTGAGCGATCCTCAGTCTTGGAGTGTGCTGACCCCAGGCTCACTTGCTGGAGCCTGAGGGTTATGCCATCTGGCTGCTCAGAGGAAGTCTTTCCGAGGGAGAGTTTCAAATATAAACACTGAAGGAATTAACATCTCCTTGTCCCAAGTCTGGTTTCTTTCACATCCTCCTTACTCCTATCAGAGCAGAAAGTTCAACATAAATTGTTTTATGACCTAGGTGCCATCAGCCTAAAGAGATCATTAATCTCTATAGATGCCTGATTGAGTCAGGGTCAGAGGAATGTATGGGCCGGCGGGAGGAAAGAACTGGCACAGAATGGATGGTGAGCCATTCGTGATTTGATAACATGGCCGTGTTTGGGGGCATTTTTGTTTTGTTTTGTTTTGTTTCTTTGAGATAGAGTTTCACTCTGTCACCTTGGGTAGAGTGCCCTGGTGTCAGAGCTCACAGCAACCTCAACTTCTTGAGCTCAATATGTCCTTTTGTCTCAGCCCCTTGAATAGCTAGGATTATAGGTGCCTGTTGCAACACCCGGCTAATTTTTCTACTTTTAGTAGAGATGGGATCCCCCTTTGTTCAGGCTGATCTCAAACTCCTGAGCTCAGCTGATCCACCCTCTTTGGCCTCCCAAAGTGCTTGGATCACAGGCGTGAGCCCCACACCAGGCTGTGTTTTAGTATACAGGCATGTTGCATCTTGATCCCTCTGGCTGTGCTCGTCAATACAGCTTGTCACCAAGGAGGGTTCCAGAGGAGCGTAAAGCTATACGTTAAATATGGGCTCTGGCTGAACAGCAAAAAGTAAGGGGCATAAAGCTCTAGAGTGTTGACTTCCCTCTCTAGGGACTTGGGCACCATCTTGAGCCCTCTTCAAATTTTCTGTCCTTTGCTGCACCTTGGAATTTTCAGGAATACGTTGACCAAGGTATAGGGTCAGGAAAAGCCAGCAGGACGACTCCATATTTGGTAATGTAATAGCAACAACTTCCATTAATAATGTCCTAATATGGGCCAGGCACTGTATGGGGCACTTTCCAGGCATTACCCGAGTTAATTTTCTCAGTGGTCTAATCAGGAGTAGAGATCTTTACTCCCATTCTTGAAATGAGAAATTCAAAGTTCAGCAGAGTTGAAAACTTTGCCCAAAGTCCCGCCTAAGTGGCAAAAATCAGGGACATATGTGGGATTTGTGGGAACTGAAGACAATACAATAAGTACAAATGACTTTTTAAAGTCAAGCCTAAGTCCTTGGAAGGGGCCCAGGCAATCAAGGAACCTCAAAGCTCAGCAACTGTATAGTGAATCCACCTTGGGCAGGGTCAGAATTTAAACCCAGGTGAGCTCCAGACTACATGGCCCTATCCCTGCTGCCTTGTCTCCTCCTCTCTCTGCCATAATTACCACCGTTCCAGTCTTCCTATTCCCCATCTCAAACACACACCCCTGTGATGAGACTGGTGCACAGAGAATGTCCTCTGAATGGATCGACTTGCGCATGTGACGTGGCATGTCACTGTTGTGACATAAGACAACAACCACTCCCACTGCCCAGCTGTAGCTCTTCCACTCAAGAAAGCAGTAGAGAGGTGGTTGAAATTTATCCAGAACTATCCCCGTAAGGAGCTTCAGTTGCTGTTCTTGGCCTCTTCCCCAAATTTAATGACAGTTCCCATACCTAGGGACTTGGGCACAGACTTGTGTAGTGGCCTGCTTGGGTCTCCAAAGAGCATTTGGAATCAGAACCTGTAATGTCCCATTTCCTATATTTCTCTTTCCCTTGGATGATATCAGTTGGCCAAATTTTGTAGGCACAATATTTGATTCGTCCTTTTTTCATTATCATCAAAATTTTACCATAATCCCCACAATCGAAAGGGGAGAGGGCTATGAGTAAGCAAAGCCTAGTTTAAATCACAAGTGCTTCAGGGTAAGCATAATAAGCACTGTTTAGTCCCCGTCCCCTGCCATTGCCTTTGAATGGCCTTACAGTCCCAGCACAGTCTAGACAATCACTAAAGGGAATCCAAGCATTTTTCCCAGCCCAGCTTTCTCTATTCTCCCAAACTGGAAACTCAAAGCAGATGATGAAGTTCAAATGCCACACCAGGCAGAAGGAAGTATTGAGAAACCGTGTCCAACCTCCAGCCAGTTTTCAAACATTCCAGTAAGATTTCAATAGATTTATCTTGGGCTAGTGTCATTCCATTGTCTCAAACAAAAGGCCTCCTGTGAAAAGACAAAAGCGAGTTATGTGAGGAGTGCCTTACAGAAAGCACATTTGGGAAAAACTGAGCAAGAGGATATCCTCTCTGCTTTGCCTCCAGAAGGCAACATCCCCCTCGTATCTGCAGGACACATGACAAAGGGGACAGGATTGCAGATGAGGTACTCCACTCTGAAGACTCTGTGACTCTATCCACTAGCACGAAGTTTAACCAACCACCCTTCCTTTGCTCTTCCATGCCAGCCCTGGAGAGAGGCCTGACCAAGGCTCTGAAGAAGCTGGATGACTACCTGAACACCCCTCTCCCCGAGGAGATCGATGCCAACACTCGTGGGGATGACGACAAGGGGTCCCGGCGCAAGTTCCTGGATGGGGATGAGCTGACCCTGGCCGACTGCAATCTGTTGCCCAAGCTCCATGTGGTCAAGGTGAGCGAGCTCTACCTGCAGGTTCTCTTGGGCCCAGGTCACCTGTGTGGATGGGTCAAGGACAGTACCACCTGCTAGTCCAAGGCCTGGACCTGAAGTCAGATGACAGGGGCCCAAGGTCAGCCTCCACTTCTTGCTGGCTTTATAGCCTCTCTTAGCTTCAGTTTTCATTTATAAAATAGGCATAGACTGCTTACTTCAAGGGTTACTGAGAGAGTAAATATGGTGTTCAAGCACCTGGCATATTGTAAGGGCCCCATATATAACAGGTGTGATCGTCTTTATTGGACATGCTTGTATCACTATGGAGGTGATAGGCTTTCACTGGCCACCCCACAACCTCTCTCTATTCAATGTACCCTTCATTCACGTTTTCTTCGTACCCAGATCCACACTCTCACTTCATTCAGCAGCTTTCTAGGGTAGGCAGGCTTCATCTTCCCCATCTATCAATTGAGGAGACAAGGGCTGCAAGTGGTGATATCACTTTCTTGCTATCAGTGCACTTGCTGACTGTCTGCAACAAGGAATGTGATCCTGTCCTGTACAACATGTCTTAGGATCTGAGAGCTGGAAAGAAGGATGGTTAGATGTCATCCAAAACAATCTCCTACCCCAACCAGGACTGGCTTCACTATGTCCGTGACAGTCTTTTGCAAAGCTGTGATCACCCATTTCTGGGGATTACGAGCCCTCTGCCTAACAAGCCAGCCCTGCCACATTGGAAAGTTCTGATTGTTAAAGCTTCCCTCATTATGCTGAGCTGAGTGTGCCTGCCTGCTACCCATTTGTTCCCTAGAGCAACACCGAATGGCTCTGCTCTCCTTCCTTTCATCTGAAGACAGCGGCTGTATCCACCTAAGTTCCCTGAGCTAACATCTCTTCTCACATCCTTTCCTACCTCGCCAGTCTAGTATCAGCCAGCCACACTGTTTCTGCTTTTACACCTGTCTATGCGATAACATCTCAGTCAGAAAATAAGTTCCATGAGGACAGAGCCTCTCTAAGAATATGGTAATCCTTTAATAAATATTCGTAGATTGATCAGTTGACCACCTGGTATATAACTTTATGATACATAGTTTATTTCTACCCTTCACTGAGAAGAATCTGATTAAATCACTTATCATCTAGGTATATGCGTATTGGTTTTCAGCTGAAGTTCTCGGCCAGAAGTGCTGGCTTCCTTCCAATCACAGCACAGACGAGCTTGAGTAGAAATCACTTAGCTGTGTGTGCACTGCTGTTCCCATGGGCCTCCGTCAGAGCTGGGAATCATGCATGCCGGTGCTAATGGGGTGGTCAAATACAACCTATTAATATGTACAGTGGCAATGAATGGGGCCAAAGCCAATGGTCACTTGTAGGTCCAGCCAAACTAGGTGTCTTTGAAGTTATTAATTACCAAGTGCACCACCTGCCAAACCATCCCTTATTCTCCTTTTCTGAGGATCAAGTCACACCACTAGGGATGACATAATTCCAGTTGAGTCACAGTGTGTCACAGTGATACAAGGAAAAGCTCAGGGCACCCAAGTAGTAGCCCTATACCTGCTGCCAACCCACTTGAGCAAGGGCAAGTCATTTAATTTTGGCGGGGATCCATTTTTCTTGTGCCTAAAGAGAAGTGGACAGCATTCCTTCTCACCTCTTTTTCCTTTCCTCCTTCTCTCCTTCTTTCCTTCTCTTTTACTCAAACATGTGCTAACTATCCACTCGAGAATCCTTTGTTGAATAAGGTAAGCAAATGGATCCCCCAAGCCTTGTGCTTTATCCTGTGGTTTCCTCAGCGCCTTCCAGCCCTACATGAGCAAGGAAAGCTCCTGTCCTTGGAGGAAGTTCCAGGGGTCGTTCACTCAGAGAAGCTGGGGATCAGAGAAAGATGCCTCGGAGGGAACAGAGGTCAGGCCTCAGCTCTTGTCTCCTTGAATCTCTGCTGATCCAGCTTATCAGATCCCAGGGACCTGGCAAAACACTGAAGGACAGCCAAGCCAGGCCTCCAGGTTGGCTTCAGATGCCAAAATTCAATCTGGGCCAAGAGAGCTGACTGCTTTCCCATGGAAGAGTGAACCCGGAGCGTGGGCCTGGAGGCTGCTGCAGGCTCAGAGCTCCACATGAGAATTGGCACGGGCTTTCTGCTCGCTCTTCCTCTCTGTCCTACCCTGATCTCAGGTTCACCTCCATCCCTGGCAGCTGAGTTGCTGTGGCCCAGACCCTCACTGAGAGTCTGCTTTGAGACTTCATGGTCTAGCTCCCCTCTAGTTTTCATCTCCCAAAGTCAAGCCAACGTGTCAGGGAGTGACCAACTCAGCAGCCAAGGCCCAGAGTGCCCCATTGTGGGCAGGGAGAGGCATCTATAGCATGGGGACCCTTGCCTGGCATAGTGACCTTGGACCTCCCCTGAAACAAACAGGAAGGGAGACACAAACATGAATATATACACATAAACTGCAATTCTGTTGTCTTAAAGCTAATATTCTATACCTAAAAAGAAAATTTCAGCACAGAATGACTTGAGGCTGCTCTCTGAATCAGTCTGTGATTGTGAAAAATATTTTGCAAGGATCACTTTGCCTTATTGTGGGCGACTTCCATCCACTGTGGCAAATTGGGCCAGAGCTCCTGCTCTTTGGCCAAGATACCCTCTTCTCAAAGGCACTTGGGCCAACCCAAAAGACCCGCATCCTGCAGTGCACAGAGGGAGACTGGGACTGGTGGCGAGTGCTGGCTCCACAGTGCTCCGCGTGACCGCTCCGTCAGAGGACCCTGATTCCGTCACCCCTACGGCCGCTTGTTAGCCACATCTAAGCCACAGAGTGTGCCATGGCTTTTTTGGCAGCCACGTCAAGCCAGTTATTTTAATGGAGAGAATGTAAAAGGAAGAAGTACTACATACTGAGAGCTGGAAAGTCGAAATGTACCTGGGGGTTCTGCTTTCAGGAGGCAGCAACTCCCCCTGGGACAGGGGGAATGAGGGAAGAGGCTGGAATTATTAAATCTTGGAAACTTAGGGCCAAGCAGAGCCGAACCTGGAAGTGCTGCCCAGCTGGTGCCAGTGTCCAAACTCATGTTGGTGCCCCCCCACACCCAGTGGGAACCCTGTTATGTGCTGGCTGCTCTGAGCGGGAGTAATGAAGCTGGTTCTAGGAGTGTTGTCAAGACACCAAACTGGATTCAGCTCTGCTCCTGGAAGGCAACAGAGACTCCCGCAGGAAGGGGAAGCTGGCAGGAGGGGGCTCCTCCCTCCCTTCTGCCCCTGCAGCCTCCTTCTCCTGACTCCTCTCAGCAGAGCCTAGTAAGCCCCACTGGCAAAGCAGAGATGGGGTCGGCACAGTCCCAGCCCCAGCATCACAAAGAAGCAAATGGGGGGGGTTTGCAGATAAGAAACAATAGATTAATAACTGGCACACAAGGGAGTCTGAGCAGACCCACTTTTTGTTATTAACAGTAGGACTGAGCAGCAACGTGGAAAGAACTATGGATTAGAAAGCAGGAAATGCTGATATGTATTAGTGGTCACTCCACAGATATTGGTTAAATTAATTTCTTTTGTAACATTACAGAAGCCACTTAATCTCTCATGGCTTCAGTTTGCTCATTGCTAAGGCTCTTCAGCCTTTAAAATTATGTGATTTTATTTACATATGACCCTAGATGCCCCTTGTCTGATATTAGCATAACTGAAGATTGTAAAGATTAAATGCAACAGGTTAATGAATCCCTACTTATTTAATCTCTACTTTTCTTATCTGTAAAATCAGAATATAATTGACTCTCACTTAGAGGGCTCTTCAGAGATTTAATTAGCGTGCAGAGTGCTTAAAGCAGTACCTGGAACAGCTTGCACAGTACAAGTTTGCTGTTGTCGTTCCTCTGCTCAACGTCATTATCGAGATTATTGGGGTGACGGGGCAAGAGGAAGATGCTGTGGTCCCTATCCTCACACTACTCACAGCCAGAGAAGCAAGAAAGGGTGCTAAAGCAGTAACAGAGTTCAGAATAGAGATAGCACAGTGGTGTCATGGATGTGCGACCCGGGCCTGGGAGCACGGAGTGGAAAGGAAAAGACGTTCCCGAATGTCTGTGGGAATGTGGACACATCTGTGAGCGTGGGCTTTCTCTGCAATAGCTCATCACTGTCCTTCATTCCGAACCACTTTCTGGGCAACTCTGCACATCGTCAGCTCTGCAGTGAATATGGATGGAAGCCAGAGTGGCTGATCTAGGGGTTCTCTGAGAAGAAGGATCTGAGGACCAGTGATCTGGGTCTGTCTCTGGAAAAGAAAGCGAGGGAAGGTGTCACAAGTCAGAGCAGGATAATATTAGTCTGTGCTACCCTGCCCCAGCTGGAGGCAGGACCAGCTAATGTGCAGGCCCTAGTGCACAGTGGAAACAGGGCGTCCTTGTTAAAAAATTATTAAGAATTTTCACACGTTGACACCAGAGCATTAAACCAAGAGCAAGGCCCGTGAGTACTAGGCCTGCTGAGACTGCACAGGTCACGTGTCCATGAAGCCACCCTGGCTAGGGAGAACTCTTTAACCCATGAAGAAATTGCATAGAGACAGGCAGAGACTGGGTCTCAATGAATTATAATAATAGCTAATGTTTGTTGAGGTCTTAACTATGTGCCAGGCATTTCTTTAAATGTTTTATGTATATTAGCTAACTTATTATTCTAAGGTAGCTCTTGTTATTACCTCTATTTTAGAGATAAAGAAATTGAGCTCAGAGAGGTCAAGTAGTTTGTCCAAGGTCACACAGCTGTTAAGTGGAGTCAGGATTGCAAATCCAGTCGGCTGAGATCCAGGGCCCACACTTAACCACTTTTAAGCTACTGTTTCTCTCAATACAACCTTGCCCAGAACTCTCCTCGTCTACATCTCCCTGAGTATGGCGAACCTGGGAGAGAATATGTGTAGAAACCACTATTTGCTCACTCATCCATCTAACTTGAACCTACACACACGTTCCAACAGCCAGCTTACTCTTTATGTTTTTTTTTAAACTTTTAAAAATAAGAACACTTATGTAAAACAAAGTAGTTAAGGGAAAGAAAAAAAAAATTATGTATCATTTATCAATTAAATGTAACTACTGATAACACATTGGTGTATATACTTCTAGTCATCCTACAAATTTCTCCAAATTTATTCCATACTTACATTTGAAAACTTTCCCAGCTCCCTGCCTTTCCCTCAGTAGCGCCATTTTTAACAGCCCCCAGCACGCCACCGTGTGTACGGCAATGAGGTGTTCACCTGTTTAGGCATTGTTGGGCATTGGTGCTGTGCCCCACTTTTTTTGTTATTCAAACTAGTTCTGGGATCATACTTGTGTAGCTAAATCTTTATGTGCTACCATAATTATTTCCCAAGGAGAAATTCCACTAAGGTCAAAGGGCACATTATATTTACTTAAGAAATTAAAGCTAAATAGAATAAAAGGAAGGCAGCACTGCCCCCCTGCCTTACGGACATTTTGCTGGCGGCCTGTTGTGATGCATGGAGGTTTTCCTGCTGGGCTGGCTGCTAACCGTTTCTGATTCATTTTTTCATATCTTCACTCCACCCCTGTCCTGTACCATCTGTGTTTTAGATTGTGGCCAAGAGATACCGCAACTATGATTTCCCGGCTGAGATGACAGGCCTGTGGCGGTACCTCAAGAATGCCTACGCCCGGGATGAGTTTACCAACACCTGTGCAGCTGACCAAGAGATCGAGCTGGCCTACGCCGATGTCGCCAAGCGTCTCAGCCGATCCTGAACACAGCCATCGTGCCCCATCCCTGCTGCAGAAGAAGGACTTGATTACTCTCACAGGACTCCGGCTTCACAGACTCCTCTTCCTCATTGCCTTGGAAAACACTTTTTAAACCTGGCCTCATGGCACTGGCATCACTGGAAGGCCAGCCTGCTGTCTTTCATGAAGGTCAGCACCACTCCCGGCCCCCTCTCACAGGAAGCTGACAAGTGACAGGAAGTGACAGGAACAGTCAACCTCTCAGCCTGCTGGCCTGATCTGGGTTCAGCGTATCAGGGGTCAGTCAGTGTCACAGAGCACATGTGGGATTGCCACTGGCCCCTTCTGCCAACATCAAAATACCTTCTCAGATGCTTTAGAAACATGGAATGCCAGCTCCTTCTCCAACCTCCTCTTTATCAGTAACTGCAAGGTCAAGGAGAAAGCCATGTTCCTTCTTATTGAAAGAGACCCACTTGCCTTATTGGAGAGACAAAGAGAGAGACTGCAGGCTGAGCAAGCTGGCTGTGGGCTTGTTGGATGTCTGGCAAACATACCTTCAGTCACTTGCTACTTCCAGCCTCTGTCATTGGGCACTGACGGCCAGGTTGGAAGGTCACTTCAGATGCATTGTCCATTTGCTGCAGTGCCGGGAATGTTGCAATGCTGTTGTGCACCCGGCCAATGCTGCCCCTAGTTTTCAAGCTGTCCAGACCTTGCCAGAAAAGGAAATTGGCATGCAATTCCAAATGGAGTGACTGGGAATGGGAAGGGAGGGAGCAGTGTTGATGCCAAAAGGCCCCCAGGGGTCTACCTGCCAAGGGGTTTGCTTGCTTAGGAGTAGTTGTTTCAGGGGAGATTACAAGCCTGGATTAGACTGTGCTTATGGGTGAGTGGCTTTGGTCTATGAGAAAGGGAGTAAGAGGAGGGATGGGTGTAAAGGAGTTCTTTGTGAAGTCCGATGTTCCCTGGTCCACAGTCTTCTATCATGATCTAAGGAAGTCTTGGGCCAGTGATGTCATGTAACTACTAACCTTACAGTCAGAACCCAAGAATTGCCCCAAATGTCTTCCACTCTCTCTAAGCTGCTCCTGAACATGGGTGAATAGGTTGGATGCTCTCAGGCAGCCACGACTAGCTGAGTCAGCTGCAGCCTCGAATGAGCAAGAGATACTTTCAGGAGGTGGCACCATCATGGAATACCATAGGAAGAAAATCCATGGGCTTTTCTGACCTGAAAACCATGTGGTATGAAAGCAAAGAAAAATATGCACCCATCTAGGTGAATTTTCCTACCATCAGACTTTCCTACCAATTGCCAGATGATAAAAAAGTTATTTTTTTTTTTTTTAGCTAATATTTCACTCCTTAGTCCTTCTCTCCAAGTTTCGCCTCCTTAGAAGCTTACCCTGCCCTAGTGCTGAGACCTGGGCAGAGGAAACTAAGAAAAAGGAACTAATCATCAACTCCCTCTCCCAGGGAACACCCTGGGAGAAATCCGCCCGGCACAGGCCCTCACCTCCAACAACCCTTCCTTCTGTATTGCCTGTTGGTAGAGGGTGAGGCTCCCAAGTACCGGAAAGCCCCTGGACTTGGCTCATTTCTCAGAGAGGGCAGGACAGCACGGGTCCTTTCCATAGAAACATCAACAACTTCTAACCCAAGCACTCCCTGGACCCACCTCCCTCCAGGGATCTCTGAAGAAAAAAAGTGACCCATTGATCAAAACAGGGGAGGAGGCAGAAGGCCTCCCAGAGCCCAGGGAGGAAGAGGAAACTTCTCGGTAGGACACTTTATAAGCCTGAGGATGCTTTGAAAAGGCAGAATGAGTCGATTCATTTTTCACCTCTAATGGAACCTTTTCAGGTCTCCCTGGAAACTTTGCCTCTGGAGATGTTTAAAAAGGAGAACTGGTAAGGAAACAGGCCTTTTTACTGTAGGGAAAAGCCCCAAACTGGCCTCTTGGGGGATGAGGGCTCAAATGATCCCAAAGGCCTTTTAATAGTGTGAAATCCTGTTGTACTCAGAAATCCTTTTCCAAATTTGCAGCACGGGCAGATGACCTAAGAGGCAGTTTACCTTCCTGAGATGCACAGTTGGGCTGTTCAGGAAATACATCTGTGAAGCATAGCCAACCCAGGCAGAGAAAACAGAACGGGGCTCCGGGGAGAGCTGCACCCCAGAAGGGCTGGCAGGATATTAGGGACTCTGATTTGATATTCAGAATTCGGCAACTGGCGAGTCTTTAAAAACAAACAGGCCACACAAAATCAATATTGTTGTTTCTAGATGTTCCTTTTAAGATTGAGCTAGTTTTATATAAATAACAATATTAAGGCACTGAGGGGGGTGTGGTAGGATCAATTATAATCATTTTAAAGAGAGAAAGGAGTTACGGAAGGGAGGCTCTTTGGTTACTTAATTCAGAAATTCTTTGTATTTCAGCAGATTATCATGTAATGTAAGTGACTATTAACTGAGAGTTGTATCTTATGACCAGATTTATCATAGTATATTAAATAACAATAATATTAATAATATAACCTATTTTTTTTTCCAAAAGAGATTTTTTCCCATATCCTTCAGCCTCTCTGAGCTTGGGGTCTGACTAGTCACTTGTGCAGCATGCCATATCTCAGCAACACTGTGCTGAGGTCCTTACGTGTCCCAAGAACCAACTCAGGGCATACTGAAGGATTTGCAGTTTGGACCTGTGTTCCCAGGACAGGAGCTATCCTTGTAATTGATCCAGAAGGAGTATGGATCCCTCAGAAAGATTTTCTGTGGCACAGAAGGGGGCTCTGTGCTGAGATCCTATTTTATTAATATTTTGTATTGACTTCTTGATGTTGACTTCCAAGTCATTTTTTCTGTGGGGTAGGTTAGTGGGAGCCAGGCAGAGAAGCAAGAGTCAGACTCAGAAGGGCTGAGCTGCATTCACCCCTCCATTCTGTTCTGCCTGTCTCTGCGGTTGGTCCAGAAAGAAGGCGCCAAATAGGAGTTTCGTGCCTGAAACTCTGGGTTGATGCAGAGCAAAGTTTCTCCATCCATTGACAAAGGGAGTCAAATGCCTGATGAATTCAGAGTCACAGAGTGATTTGAATATTTGAGTATGACAGTCTTTTAAACAAGGGCTAGAGTCACCTGGCACCAAACAAATGACTTGAAAAGTTAGAAGTGCAGTTGATCTCCTTTTGGGCCACATGATCCCAAACTAGTTTCAGCTTTCCAGAAAATAGCAATGTCCTTGGTGCCATTCTTGTGCTAGTGGAGTCAGTGAGGATCTTGACCTTTTTATCAATTTCCTGGGCTGCATTTCCAGGCATCTGCTGAATGAACCAACAAAACTTTTCACAGCACCTGTGCCCTGTGGCCACTCTGCAGACAGACAGTACCAAGCATCTTAAAATTGTCACCAGGTGGCTCATGCCTAGAATAGACCTTGACCATCTGAGAGTCCCAAGAAGCACCAGACCTGTATAAACAGGATTAGGGGGAAGGCAGAGACAGGAAGGAGCAGGTTTATCTAGAGAGAGTTTACAATCACTGGGAGAGTCTATGTCTAAAATTAAATTGATCCAGAAGCAGCAGGGATCCAGTCGTGCTTCTGTGATTCACCTCAATGCCCACTGACCAGGGGTCCCCTCAATCACGTAGTGAATCAAGATGCTGGTGTCTCCCTGAGAAGGAAACATTAACTCATAGTTAAAACAAAGTTCCATGATTCCCAAGGGATCACTTTCTTAATTTTTTATATGACTTTCAAGAGAATCCTAAGAAAGCATTAGAGAAAGAAGTGTGCACGTGAAGCACCTCAGTTCTGACCTTAGGAAAACTTCAGTGATCAGGACGCCCTGCACACAGCTCCATTGTCTTCTATCAACGCACATTCTTCTCCCCATGGCAGTGTTCTTCTCCCAGCTTCATTTCAGGATGCTTTCATTTCATCATTAAGTAGGATCCAAAGTGTGCATGATTTCATTTAATGTTATTTAAGGAAATAGATCATATTCCCTCTGCAACCAAAAGGAAATAAAATATTGTCTCAATATAAGGTTTGTGCTAATCTATATTTCTATAAAAGCAATCTTGTTTCTTTTTCCTTTGTTTTTTTGCAAAACATGCTTTTAAGGATCCAATCCTCTAATTGTATTCACGCAGAGTTGGAAATTTCATGATATTGACTGTGCATATATTTAATATTAATATGACATATTAATGTTTGACTTTGTCTTACTTCCTTGGCACTTGGTTGTCCCATTTTATAAGCTGGAGAGTTAACTAATTTAGCAAAAGTTGCCTAGCTTTTGTAAAAGAACAGGCATCTCATTTTATAAGGACACTCCAAATAATGGTTACTTGCTTTTCTTAAGACCTTTAACTGTGGTGATAAAATAACAAGACTTGCTTTCCAGCCTTAATACATGTGAAATGCTTTTTAATGAAGATACTGCTGAGTGTTTTCCTTATGAATCTGACCCATTATAAATTTGTTTTCCAGTCTTGATTGGTATTGACAGATTCAAATAAAGTTGGTTTATTTTCAAATACTATAAAAGTGGTCATGAGTCTTATTATTTGAGACAGGGATATCTTTAGGTGACTCTCTTGCCTCAGCCTCCAAAGTAGCTGGGACTATAGGTGCCCACCACAACACCCAGCTATCCTGTGACTTTCTAAATGATAAGTATAAATATCTCCTTTCCCACATAAGATTATCTTATTTTCCCATTATAAAAGAAAATATGTTCATTCCTCTTAAAAATCAAAAGCAAATAAAAACAGAAGCAGTGGCTCACCCTTATAATCCTAGCACTCTGGGAGGCCAAGGAGGGTGATCACCTGAGTTCGGGAGTTTAAGACCAACCTGAGCAAAGTGAGACCCCCCATCTCTACTAACAATAAAAAACCAGCATGGTGACTGGTACCTGTTGCCCCAACTACTCAGGGGGCTGAGACAAGAGGATCTCCTGGGCCCAAGAGTTTAAGGTTGCTGTGAGC